AGCCCGCTGCAACAGTCTGGGGGAAATTTTATTTTTTCGGACCTGGTTAGAGGACTGAGATTAGTGGTTAGGCCGAGTTGGTAACAACGACGAGGGCTTATTGCCGGTTTGTAAAAGTACACATGAATATCACGTGGATGGAGTGAATGCTTGTCAGGGTACACATGGGAGTTAGTGCACAAACAAGAATGCGCGATCGTTGTTGAGGCAACTACCAATTCGATGTTCTATCGCTGTGGACGCTCCATCACCGCAAACCTCCCTTCGTCCGCCACTTCCAGCGGTAGGTCTGTCTCTTCCTCTTTTCTCTGTCTCTCTCTCTCTTCTTTTCTTCTGCTACCTTACTCCTTTTGGAAAGGAATTATTTTTTATATACTCGTCACTTACTTTTAGAAGTCCTTCATTAATACATACACTTATAATATACCAATTGCTTTGCTGGTTGTGTGTACCTTTTAGTGAGGATCTATTGTCAGATGTTACATAATATTAATATGTTTATTATTAGTTATAATCACCTGAAAGGGTATTTGTGTTTTCACCTAGTATATGGCTTTGCGCTTTTCAAAGTTTACAGAAAGGTTTTCCTCACCACTTTATCCCCTAATGCTGATGTGGAGCGCTGTCAGTTACCTGCAACTTTTACTGTTAGGATGCCAATCAGTCTTTAAGATATAAACAAAAGATTGAATATAGGTTTTTTTAAAACCTATAAACCTTGTTCCTTTGCCTTTTTTCTGTTCTGGACTCATCAGACAACCACACTGTTTTGTTAATTTCTTACCATTTTTGCTCTTGTTTTTAGTTTAATAACGAAAATACAAATTAGATAAGGAAATGAGCATGAATATTTTCTTAATAGAGCCTTCAAACTGATGCTTATAGCATATGAGAAATTGACTTGACGACCCGCTGTACTGAGCTTACGTTCCTAGAACCGTGTATGAAGCGTGTTTGGGGGGCAGTTAGACGAAAAACTCTTTCTCCCTCCCATGCTTGTCTGCATTCATCATCAGTTTGCATCCCCTAGACCGATTTTATTTCGTTGAAACTAACTGATTATTACACTCACAAATAAGGTTCTGTTAAATGTGCAACCACTGGAAGACGGTTCTATGTCTGATCTGAGAGAAACACAACACGAATTTGACAGGAGGTCTGCATTTAAATGGGTTAATTTACAATGCCCATCGGTCAGGCACTCACTGGACTTATTTCATCACCTTGTTATTGGCTAATTTGATACCTGTGCAAATGTATCACAGGATGCCGAATGGAGCTCTAATTTGTTCAGATGCACAAGATCGAAGAAAATAATATAAAGGAGGCACAGACTTAAATCATATTTTAGCTTCCCACCGTTAGAGGATTGTCTAGCCTTGGCTTATTCCAACCAAATTCACCTGTTTTATTTTTCTATTTTACATGGCCATGGCCTCTTTGAATATATTGTCTGTGTCGAATTCTGATTATTTTAGAGGTTGAATCTGTTCTGCATAAGAATCCAGATTGCCAATTACCAATATTGTGATTAGGATCGGCCCAACATTTGTTCTATCTGCAAATTTTCACCCACTTAATACCACACGGGTCTTACGATTCCATTATGGCTTTTGTATAAGACTTTTGTTCTGGTCTCTTATTTTAAACATCTGCGTAACGTAGACACATACACTAGATCCACACTTTTCAGAAATTCTCTATAATGGAATGTGTTCCTATTCCCATAATGGGGTTTGCATATTTGTAGGTCACTAAAGTGTCTTCGCTTTTAAAAAGACAAAACAGTAGTAAGTGTGATCTTTGGATTGGTGATTTAATACTTCAGTTACACGTCCACATGTGAATGCTGTTACCTGCACCCTTTAGTCAAACCTAAAAATGCCCCTTCATGTCCCCACTTGAAAACTGGACAGTCAGTTCTCGATATCTCTGGCCAGCTGCAGCAGCACTTCACAGCGCAGTCCTCTCCCTCTCACGCTGAGTTGTGTAGGCGGTCAAAAAGGAGAACTGCATTCGCTATGAAGGGCTGTGTATTTCAATCCTTTGTCCTCTTGTCATCTGTAATTTAGGAAGAAGTAAAAAATCCTTAATTGTTTTTTTCCTCTGACTGAAACCTGTGTTGTATGTATAAAGAATCTCGAACGTAACCTGTTTGACTGAGGTTGCAAGGTTAGCTGAGCAGGGATGGTTATGATTTATAGTTGTGCCACGTTCGGATATGGTATTGCTGTTTTCTTGACTGTATATATGGACAATACGATTTCGCAAAAAGGATGGTGACAGCCGTTAGACAACATACCCCAGTTGCAGTAGTTAAGCACTGACTTTGGCTACTTGTTGTGGTCCAGCCACGCGGAGGTAAGGATGGGTGGATTTCATATTACTTGCTTGCTACTTGTGTAGGAGTTATATTCTGAGAATGGCTACTGGATTTGGCTTCTTCCATGTTTATAATGAATACCAGTGGAAACGTAGTGAGGGATAGAGTGCTTTGAGACACGACGCAGGGAGGGCAGTGACCGCCGTATGCTAGTAAGTGATACAGAGCCAGTTGAAAAAATAATCGCCTTTTATGTATACCAGAGTGACTGAATGTAGGCATGCGTACATTAGGAAAGTAAAGTGGAGGGGATAGCATACATAAGACCCAGTGAGGAAGCAGGCATTATGAGACTGCAGTGCAACTACTGCCATCTTGAATAACAAGGCCATCCAGCATGAGCAGAGGCAAACAAATAGGACTCTTGGTGTTAATAGGGAGGAGAGCGTTCCAGAGGGAGATCCTAAATAACTCTGATAATGCCACTGTACTGGGTAATTCTTAATGCCTAAAGACGCGTTACTTGTACTTTACAGAAGGTGGTGCCACAGAAAGCCTTTAGCACGTCGACATACACAATGCATTATCAGCCACTCACTTTCACCACACCTTTCAACACTTTTTAGCGGGTTTGACACACATGACTGAGCCCCTTCTCCATTTTCCATAGGGTAGGCTCACGCCTGCTGATTAGAGCCCTCGCTTGGCAGCTGACACTCGTCAGCACTCTTCAATTGAGGCAGCGGTGGGTGATCGATAATGTATCTGCTGTAGTCACCTGTGTATCCGGGATAAGGGAAGCGCGGCTGTATACGCTCCGATTAGGCACCTTGCCTGCAACTTTGGGCGTGATGCTAAGCTCTTTTGAGCATTCAGGGTAAACAAGTACATGTGAAGTGTGTGTGTGGTAAAGTTGCATGGACTTCGGCGCACGAGGATGCCCAGCTGTTGGTGCCTTCCAAACCATGGAAGCAGATTGATGGAGATTAAGATCAGAGAGCGGAAAGTGAAAGGAGGGGCCATGTGTCGCGGAGAGTGGAGACTGGGGCTGCTAGGTAGACCCTTCATTGTTAACTGGGGTCAAACGTTGTGACTCAAAATCCCTTGGCCATTCGATGAAAAATCCTTTTACTTTGGATATGTTGGATCTTTTTCGACCCTCTCAGGTCGCCTTTCGTACGAGGCGCAGTGAGCCTCACCAGTTGAGCCTTTCGCACAAAGTTATTCACTCGTTGTCCCTCCTCCCCTTGCCAGACTCTTCCCATGGCCCAAGTACTAGCAGAGAAGAATTGCGTCTTTTCTTTCGTTGCTATGTTACGAAATTATATCTTGTGTTTTCAGATTGTCTGGCCGCATCAGCTTGTTGTTCTGTTTTATGTCCTCTGCTGCTTGATGTAGGCTTAGTCGCTGAAGGTCCGGTCGCAGTATTTCTTTTGGCAACGAATTACGCCTTCTGGATGCTGGTGTCCCTGTTAATGTTAAGTAATTGATAGCCTGCGAATTGTAGGTTAAGATGAAATAACCATTAGGAGAGGTAATTAGGGAGGCGTTCTCAGTGGGATATACGGTAGGAGGCGCTGCTACTGCCCTGACCCCTTGGGGTTGTGTAGGAGCGGAACAAAGTGCTGCCCTTGAAATGCCTTTTACATAATACCCTGTGTACTTACAGAGACACTAAGGAGTCGATACAGCAACTACGGAGATAGATGAGGAGGGATAACAATAAGAGAGAGAAGCCTAGGATTCTCAGTGTCGAACTATCAGTAAATGGGGTCCCCATGACCAAGCAGAAGAATATAGTGACCGTAAGTGAAAAATGTCAGTTATCGCGACAACACGCGGTTTTTGTAAAAGGGACAACGTCATGTAAGAGCAACCGCCGTCTCTCCAGGTTATATGCAAACTAATTTTCATCCTTTGTGCCTACATTGTCAGGTAGTAGCGTGGCGTTGATCTCAGTTCAAGTGCATGAGAACACTGGAGTTCTTGCACAGAATGCCATTACTCATATTGAGGCCATGGAAAACGTTTCATTTGGTTACGTAGGTTTCCGATAATATACCTGATGCACTTGCTGACATATGATGAGATAGTGAATGCAGACTTGAAGCAGAGGAAATGGCCTTGTTCAGATAATTTACTGAGCATAATCTCGTTTCTGTTTACAGCCCGATATTGGAGTCCTGGACCCTGTAACAAGCAGACCTTCATGACACAAGGAGATTACAGAGAGAGGGTATTAGTTGTAGTAGTTAGGATATTTAGAAGAGTGATAGCTCGAGTTGTGACAATGAGCTTGGGAAAATTTTGGTGTGTTCTTTTTCTTTTCGCTGCGGAACCGAGCGAAGGATAATTCTCTTTCATGATCTCTGAACCCCAAATACAACACTTTACTAACTATGGCTTTAGGATAAATCTGATTAATAACCACGCTTTGGTTTGATAGGTGTTTTAATTTGATACAGTACCTTGATAGCATCTGATTTCAGCTGGTTAAAAATGAATCCAATTAAGTAGCACCACTGAGTAAAGCTCAATTACAGCAGCAGATATCTCATTAACCCGAGTTGTTAATGCCAATCCTGGCAGCTGTATCTACGAACTCAAAGACAAATTTCAACAACAACCAAACCAAATACCCCAGCCCCAACCTGTCACAACAAATGTCATCTTTTACCTTGGGAAGAAAGCTCTTGGACGCGGAGGTAGGGAATAACTGCGGAGCGCAGCACGGACAGCTTGTCCAGCTTTGGAGATGACATCCGGGGACGCAGCAGGCTGGCAGGCCGGTCCAGCTCAGCATTCAGCCTGTCTCTTGTGGCCGCGGCTTTGACGGGTGGTTTTCTCATTGGAGGAAGACGGCTTCCTGATGAACAAGACGGAGAGAGATGAAGTATGAGGGGATGGGTGGTGTGAATATGGGCATGGCGGGACAGTTGGAAAGTACCATGTGTGAGGACGATTGTGCAAGGAGTAATGACAATGCCCTTCTCAGCTGTCCCCTAATCCGCAATAAGAACCGTTTTTATGCACACTACGCGAGCAGGCAGTATAGGTGATCAGGGCAGCCACACAGCACGGATTAACTTGGTTAAACTTCACTTGGTTGAGCCGCTACTGTTAATTGCCAAGTTTATTGAGTGAAAACTCATCCACACCACATGACACAGGTCCTGTTTATTTAGAGATTGCGCGACCCCCTGATGGTCTTGGGCTAAAAGATAATGTTTATTCATGATCAGTGATATTAATTCTATCTCTGGCTAATATCCTGCAGTTTTAATGTATTATATTCTCCCACAGGAAGTAACTTGCATTACGCTCGATGGTCAGTCCGCTAGCCGTCTTCTGGGGAGGAAGTTTGAGTAATACCTGACTCTTATAAAACTGTTTCACTCTGTCCACTTGAGAGCCCAGAGCTATACTAGGATGAGCCTCACAACTTATTAGATTCCGGAATATACATTAGAATGCAAATCTCCCCTCCCCTTCAATTAGTCCTTGACTAGTGCCAGTTTTGATTGTCCTCATTTCCTATCCGCGAGTAATTAAGTGAGACAACCATGACAGGAGATCACGCTTTTGTCTGACTCTGCAAGCGAACCCAAAGATAGATACATGACGAACAATTTAATCAAACCACACGGTCTACACAGTCCCTCTTTTTTAAACTTGTTAAACTGGGTGGTCTATTTCCTTTTGATCAGCCTTCCCCAATCTCCATGGCATTCCCACTGTGTTGTTGTTTCGCACTTCCAGAGCAAGTAAGATTTGTTTACGGTTCACTCTAGGCCATTGGCACGAAAAGTTCACAACAAACAGTTGAGTCATAGGGTTCTTCTTCCTTTTAATCCTCTAATGGTAGGTTTGATTGCATTAAGAAAGTAGTTCCTTGTTGTCAATATAGTTGCTCAAAACCTCTCGGTAGGACCGTTCCTTCCTCTCTTTACGTATTTCTACTATGTCATGTTATATGTGTGTTGAGCATTCAGATTGTATACTGCTCCTCCGCTCTGGGTGACTCAGTAGTGATATTGTTAAACTGCTGCTTCAGGCACAGACTGGTATATATTTTGTCCTTATTTTTTTGTAAAGTGCTACCATCAGCTATCTACCAGCTGAAAACTTAACAATGATCCTGCATATGAAATGATGTCAGCTCCGATTTCCACAGGTCCCTAGGGAAGAGTTTAGCTGTTTTTTTTGTTCCATCATATGAGACGGAAGATTTACTGTCCTCAGTTACTTATAGTTGCCATTGCTGACTTTTCGTAGATGTATTCTGATGAAACATACATAATTCACTGTATTCTCCATTCTTACATGTTTTTATGACTGTCCACACAGGATCCTCCGCGACATGTCGGATGTCAGAGGATTTTTCAGTAAATCTGCAAGTTAGGTAAAAAAGTTTAGCTTTTCTGGAAGTCCACAGTTTTTATTAGGAATCTAAGGAGCCAAAACAAGAACATTTCAATTTTTTTTAAAGGCATTGGTTAAGATCAATGTAATAACAGGATGCACTGATAGTTATAATATCAATATTCCTTAAAATAACTTGCAGGCTAGATTTCAGAGTAATAGGTGTGCCCGTTTGCACAAACAAGTATCGATTGATGGTGGCAAAGATTCCTTTAGTTCTGCAGCAAGGCAAGAGCAGTAAAGTCATGAAATTTATAAATGCCATCATGTCTGTGATGGTAATTACGCACTTCCTCTTCAGAATCTTAAGTATGTATGATAACCTAGTTTCACCTTGGATGTATACCTGATCAGCCGACTGACAAGAGATTCCTCCACAAAATTCACTTTTGATCCTCCCTATTTATCTTATGTGCAAAAAAACGAAATGGAAATACATGAATATAATACCCTGACTCTATGACGATAGTGATCCCAACTGCTTCTGTCCAACAGATATGTTAAGATACTGGTAGGCCATTTTGAAACAGGCTACTCAAGTCCTGAATAGATACGAAGCTCATCTATTATGTAAATCTTTTTGATGCTGCACACTAGTGTACTACCTGTCTTCGCTGGCTCCTTTAATATGATCTTTCTTGAGTAAGATGTGTGGAGCTAGGCGATGCTCTTATGCTGCAAGAGTCATGTGTTAGAATGTGCAGCTGTTGTCTATACAAATAAACAAGCACTTATGATTAATTTGATAGACCGTTCTATGGTGACATACAGGTAGACGGCCTGTCTTCAGTGAGTCTTGTGAGTGAATCGCTGATGAGGATCTCGTGAATGTTTTCCCTAATATTACAGCTACTTCCTCAGAGGCATAGATAGTTTTTGTTTACTCTACTAGCGCTATCTTCTGTTTCATCTTGTCTCTCATTTTCATTTCATTCATCTGTTTAAGCCATGTTCTCTTTCAGCTGTGCATATTCTCTGTGCTACTTAATGCTTGTTCGTAATTTAAGGGCTCACGCCCGTCTCAAAAGACCTCCTATAAGATTTTGGGACGTTATTTTAATTTCTCTCGGCCCACTGCTATATCCCACCTCCCCTATTTTCATTGCTTCCGCTGTCTTGCTTCGGCCGTCTAAGGCATTTGTTTCAATTCTTAGTTCTTTTTAATGCGGTACCCATACGTTTCGAAAATCACTAGGAGTAATTAGTGATTTCCTCGGTGTACATATTATGGCTGTAGATGGTGCGGTCCGCTCAAGATAATCAGGGTAAAAATCAATAACCATATTGCTATCTCAACCAACCGGATGAGGGCCAAGTCGTCTGAACATGATTGCCAGGTTACTGTGCAGACATTGTGCGAACTCGAATATCTACAGCTCGCCGCTCACCTCTCTAACTGGTGTATTGTCTCTCTGTGGATTTCTGTTGCTTCTCCTTCTCTTTCGGCCCGTCGGTAAGCGGCGCTGCGTGGTCGGTATCCAGTAGTGTTGGCGGCTGTGAATAGTTGTTAGTATTTTATACACATCTTTCATTATTTTTGATCACCAGTGTCAAAAATACAAGAAATATGGCAAAACAACTACAAGTTGCAAAATAACTGCAAAAAGACTCAAAAACGACAAAGCGACAATGTGACCATGGATGAGTGGTGGGGGCCTTTTACATGTCAGACGTATTTAGTCTAGAGACAGCTTATTTGTTAATTTATTAATAATGATGCAAGTGCAGGCTTTAAATGTGCCACCAGTTTGGGCCCTCCATTCAAGAGGTTTGCTAACCCCCTGAACATCAACTCTTCTCACTCTGCTCATGATACTTCTTTTCAATCACTTTCCATGCATTTTTTTCCCTCCTTTTTTTTTGCCTTCTTACTGTTTTTCTCATATGGGCTGTGATTTCTGCATCTTTTAGCGCTGCCATTAGTCTAAGTACCGATCTCTCATGCCTTACAATTGGCCCATATTGGCTCCATTTGATTGCCATCTGCTATAGAGGATAGAAACTGACAAGGAAAAAATGAGCTGAGGTGTTGGAAGACAGACTGAGTGCAGGCCTGGATGCTTTTATACGCAAGAAGGCACCGCATCCGTTGTGCTTATTACATCCTGCTAGCCATTACCTTCAGCAAATTTTTGGTTAACGGGGTCCTATTAGGCAAGTGACAGGGACAAGATGAACTACGCATTGAGATGAGGGTCTTAACAGCACTCTATGCTATTTGTGATTGGTTGATTTGCCGCGGCTCTGCAGATGGATACCGATTGGGAGGACAGGGTTTTTTTGATGATGGGAACTTACTGAACAATGTTGCATACATAATTCCATTCAAAGATTGCCACTATTACTGCGCGCCTATCTGCCCTGTTGGCTCTCTAATTGGCAAAGTGTTTTGATGTTTCCACTTTGTGTAATAATTGATAGTATTCAAGCCAGAGCATTCTATCTACTGACTGTGAGTGTGATATTGCAGTAGAAGCAAGAAATGTTTGCAGTCCTATTGCCGAATATTGGTTCCTTTGCATGGTGTTTGGATTTTGGTTTGTCAGACAGATTCAACGTCTAAAATATCTATGATTATCGACACTGTGCTAATCATTTTCTAAAGGTAAAAGGCAATGGCCATTAAAATGTAAAATAACAGTGTGGTTTTGGGTTGAATAGTCAAGGTTAGAATCCTTAAGGGGGTGGAATGGAGTTAAATAGGTTTAATGGTTGTGCTTCTCCTTTTATTATTTTTTTCTTCGTATCTTTGGTCGGATCTGACAATTTAGAGCTCCATTTCGGTCCTGCTGATTTAATTTGCAGCAGGGTATCAATTAGTCCAATAACAGGTTGATTATGAATTAAGTCCTGGTGAGTGCCCAGTTACCTGAATGGTGCCATATGTACTTACTCATTTAATGAGCTTTGCAGGATTCTGTGTTGTGTTTCTCTCAGTCAGATGCCAGTGGTGGCAATTTAACAGAACCTATTTGTGGTGGTGGTGGACTTTGCGTAATCCCCGGTCATCCCTAATTTATGCATGCTTATCATGGATTATCCCTGTATAAATCTGGTCTATGGTTGATGCAATGAATATTTGTCCGGCTCTTTGTTGGAGGTTGGAGGAATGAGTTCTGGTTCAACCTGTGCCCCAAACAGCTTGCGTTCAGTAGCACGGTGCATAGGAACGTTGTAATCAAATAGCTGGTGCATTTGTGTTAATTATTAGATTGATGGCGCGCAAAGCTCAATCTTAGCTCCATACAGCGGGTCGTCAAGTCAATTTTACTTCGTCTTAGTTTAAGTTATTGTAGGGGCTCTTTTAAGAGAAATTTGTCCTCAGTGTGCATTTTCTTATCTAATTGATTTTTATTTAACTAGAATCTTAGCCAAAAAGATGTATAAGAAAATTAATCAACATGTGTTGTACGATTGAAGTTTCCAAAAGCCAAAAAGAACAGGTTTATATAAGGTTTTTTCAAGACATGTCATTCTCAATCTTTCGTTTAATATCTTAAAGGACGGATTTCAGTGCATTCTATCAGTAAAGTGCAACAATATTGTTAAAAGGGGATAACTTGGACAGCGCTCAATCAGCATTGATGCCTGGGAATGGATAGGGTGGTGTAGGAGAAATATTTTGCTGTGAAAATTTGGAAAGCGCAAAAGGCCCTATCTTAGGAGATGAAAGAAACAATTTCTATTATTGCAGGTGATTATAGACAATTATAAAAACATGATTAAAATCATAATATGTACTATATGTCTTGACTAGAGATCCCATAAATAATGTTAATAATCATGGCACAAATCTATAAAGCGATAACCCATGACCAGCTAAAGAATATAAGCGGCTTACTCAGAATTTCTTCTCAGTCGATGGTTGTATTAATTAAAGTGGTCCATTTTTCTAAAAAGTATATACCAGTGACGAGTATTATAAATAATAATTCTTTCAAATAGAGAAGTAAGGGTAGCAGTAGGGAAGAGAGAGAGAGTGACGGATGAGGCACGGATGAGAGCACAGATTAGACGTCCTTTCGACTGGTGCAAAGTAGAGATATTGCGAAGGGATGGGAAGTGAGGGTTGCGGGTGATGCTGAGCCTGTCCGCCTAGGCACGTGGGAAATCGAAATTGGTATGGTCTAGCCTCAGCACTACTCCGTTCGGCCATTCTTGTTGGTTGCTATTGCTCCATGTGTGACCCTGCAGCATTCCTCCATCACTGTGATATTCATTTCTTTTTTACAGACGTGGGCAATAGCATCGGTAATTGTCGGTGTTACCAATACTGGCCTAAGCCAATGGATTCTTTGGAATCCAATGTGCATAAGATAAAGTACCTCTAACAAACAGAGGTACCGAAAAATAAATTTCCCCTAGACTTTGGGTCGGTCGTGTCCTGTAGCCAGTCTGCCAGCGATAGACTGAGGCGCAAAATGGTTCTTTGCCGCGTCACACATGTCGTGGATTATACCTTTAGTTCTAACCTCTCGGCTTTGACTTAATTATTCTGCTCGGGTCAAATGTTGGCTGATGCTTATTATATATTTCACACGTATCTATTTGATGGTGAGTGAGGGCTGCGACCTCTCTCACAATATGAATACGCGATTACTCAAATTGGATTAGAGTGTTTGAAATGGTGTAACACCTCGTCAGATGAGTTTATTTACTTTTTAATACTTTTTAATGGCTAATTTCATTTACTACCTTTTAATACCTTTTACAACCCCGCGGACGCCCTATATATTGAACAGGAAAAATAAAAGAACACTAAAATAGATTTAACACATTTAAAATTATTTAATCAAATTTACAAAATCTTTTAAAAATAAAATCCACCCTACCCGTTTTGGCCATTTGTTTCGTTCTCATTCTTTTGGTTACTACAGAGCTTATGGCCATAGGTCAGGGTTGGAACGTAGATCAATTGAAAGCTTTGCCTTCCGGACCAGCTACCTCTTTACTACAATGGTCCGGTGCAACATCTGCATCAATCTTGACATTTTACCATCACCAGGAACGTGGGAGGAGAGCCCAGGGTAGACCCAGAACTTGCTGGGGGGATTATACAGCTCATCTGGCCTGGCAACTCCTCGGGATCCCCTAAGAGGAGCTGGCAGGACTCCTCTGTGCCCTGTCACGACCCGACCCTGGATAAACGGTTGATAATGGATGGATAAAAAAAAATTTATTAGCTTTTAGAGTGTGTCCAATCCACAGACACAGACTTACCAGTTAGATGTGGCTGTGACAGGCGATTATACATTAGCCAAACGTGCATGTGCACACAAGTATAAAAAACTGAAAACACTGTGCTGGCTAAATAAAAGCAACCTTTATCAGTTCACTCCTTTCAAACTACAGATTTAGAACTTGTATTGTGTAATTTCTACGTAATCATAAAGATTCACCAGAATTTCTTAGAAATTAAAAAATACTAATAACCATCTAAAAAAAGGAATAAAAGGTTAGCCATTAAACTTTTTACTTCCATGTCTAAACCCAAGCAGTCGAGGCAGATGGCCACCCACCTAGAGCCTGTTTCTGCATGAGGTTTCTGCCCCAGTTTGTCCTTGTCGATGGTGGGAATTGTTAGGTCTCTGTAAATAATTTGACAAACAGTACAGTCTAGATCTGCTCTATATGAAAAGTGTCCTAAATTAGGAAAATCAAATATCATAATAATCAAATCACAATATTAGTTATCTGATAACTAATATTGTGATTTGACGCTATATAAATAAAATGTAATTGTAACTGTTAATTGATATAAAGGCTTTGTTACATGCACAAAATGTCTGACAAATTATGCATCATGAAAACATAAAACAACAATAAATGTGTCCTGTAAGATAAACTACACAAACACACAAAATATAGGCTTGACTGCAATAAGACTGCAATGTAGGCGTTGTGTGGTTACAGGATTTTCTGGTGTGACTTCCTCAGATAGCATGTTGGATTAAGCACAGTGAGCTCTGTAAGACCCCAAACCATGTAGCCAGCTAACAGAAACACACTGGGCTGAGCTATTGCACCAGCTTTGCCACTCTTTGGTCAACTTTGTATTCCTGCATCATAACATTTTTTTTAAAACTTAAATCAGTTTGCAGAAACATTGCAGAGGCCTAACTGCATCTTTTTGTGTTTGTGAAATAGAGGGTGGGGGGGTGTGGAATGATGTCTCTATTTTGAGCTCTTGGTGCACTGCCTTCCTCGCAAGGAGAATGTTTGTTTTCCTTTTGCTACTAAAACAGTCTCTTTGAATCCCCGCAGGACTCAGAGGCCTCCACTCTTCCAGCCTTGATATTGATGCAATTTGATGTTCACATCTGTGTATCTGTAAGGCATTTTTTTCTCTGGCTGGTTTCTTTAAGCACAATATATACTTTAGTTTCCCTGTTGGAAAGATGATATAATTGGCGGGCATACAGATATGGTTGAATCTTTTTTGCTATAGCCAATCAGGCATCATTAGTGCAGGCTAACGGAAAGCATTCTGTGTGTCGGTCTTTCTCAGTGTGAGCTGGTGGTATTTTTCTATCCTTCAGTGCTTATTCAGAGGATCGAGAGTCTCTGTCACCATGAAGTGCAACAAAGAATTGCACAAGCATACCCACACACTTTCATACCCACAAGTCAGAATTGCTAATCCACTGGCAAATGAAGAAACAGGACGACGAGTTTGGAGAGGTTAAGATGCCACGTTAAGTGTGATTGGCTTATGGTCTCTACCAACTGCTGAGAAAAAATATCTGTCTCTTTAGCTACTAAATGCTCCACTACGTTCACCAGCTAGCAAATAATTGTGTCTGTTCTTTGTTCTTCACTACCACTTTAACATTTACATTATTTTACCCATTATTAATATAAAAATATTGATTATAGCTTCAAATTTTCACATCAGCAAATTGCTACTGTGGTCAGTAAGTCCAAAGGATTCATTTTATACAATTTATTTAAAGTGCAGAAATGCTTTTCTTCAACCATTTGGCATGTCCAGTAGCTGAGCTTTAAATAACATTTTCCATATATTTGACCTTTAAGCCACATCTCTGTGTCTGTGTGTATTTGAAAGTAGCTCCCTTACAAATCTGTATTTTCTGGACCCTGTATGTCTTCCCTCCCAGTTTGTGAGGTCACATTAGAGGTCATCCGATTGAAGTTGGGGAAACATGTAAAATCCACACAGACCAGTCTGTGAATCAGAGCCTCTGATGAAAGTGAAATAGCTGCTCAAGTGTTTAGACTCCTGCAATAAATTAAATCGCATCCCATCATTTCTCAGTTGTTCTGTGTCTGTTTTGAGAAATTGGGGAGAAGCTGATTAAAAAGACAAAGACAATTCTTACTCGATGACAATGAAGCTCATCTCATCTAAAAGTAATGTGTTTTATTCTCTCCTCAGAGACCCAACCCCTTCTGACTGACCCATCACTCCCTCTTCCTCCCATCCCTCATCCTTTCTTCCCTTTTCGCTCTCCCTCTTACCTCTTCAGTTTTAATACCAATTCTCAGAGGCCTGACTGTGCATATAACCCTCCATGGCTTGATAAGCCTCTGATAAGCAGTCTGTCTCCTCTCCCGGAGGACCCGGGGTTTGAGTTTCTCTTCCTGACCTCTCTTTGAGGTCCAGGTTTCTTCCCTGTGGAGGAGCCAGACCCAAAGCTCTCATCCGGTGACCCGTCCGAGAGAGCCGCGCAGAGCTGACAGGATCAAAAGCGGAGGCACTGAGCTTAGGGAATAGAAGGCTCTGTACAT